TTATTTTTTTTAATATATTATAAGAATAAAATATAATACATAATATAATGGCAGTCAAAAGGAACACAATAACTCATTTTTAGTTTTAAAAGCTTATAACTTATTAATTACAGATGCTAGAAATATAATTTTTGGTTTATTTTAATCCTTATATTTTGAAATTTATTTTATAAAAATTTATTAGTCAATTAATATTACCAATTTTATATAATATAAAGATTTACATTAAAAATAGTACTTAATAATTTTTAAGCTTTAAAAAACTTTTTTAAAGTAGACTAGCAATCATAAAACTGATATTGGATTTTAATTCTCTTTTGCATGACATCTAAATCAGACCATCTAATCAGAAGATATTATATAGCAAAGTTTGATATTTTATTATATAAAATTGGTTAAATTCATTTTTTATAATAAAATATTAATCTTTGCTATGCAATATCTCCTAATCAAATAGTTTGATTTGAATGAAATTTAACTTATTAGAATTATCACACAGAGTAGAATCAGAATCCAGTATTAGTTTTATAATAGTTAACCTGCTTAAAAAGTTTTTTAAGTTCAAAAGTCATTAAATACTATTTTTAATGTAAATCTTTATATTATATAAAATTAGCATTATTAATTGATTAATAAATTTTTATTGAAATTTTCTAAAATATAAGAATTAAAATAAATTAAAAATTATATTTCTAGTATTTTTAATTATAAGTTATAAGCTTTTAAAACTAAAAATGAGAAATTACATTTTTTTTGACTACTACTATACATTAAATTTAATATTTTTTATTTTTTAAATTAAGAATTTTTATCTAAATTTAATCATATTTTTTAATTATTTTAATTAAAATATATTATAAAATATATAAACAATTATTTTCAAATAAAATTTTATTTTAATAATTATTATTTTATGATTTTTATATATTATATATATAATATATAATTATTTAATTATTTCTTTATATAAAATAGATTCTATATACTTTTAAATCTAAAACTTTAAATTTATTCAAATGATTTAATTAAAAAATTAGATTTTAAAATTATCTTTAAATAAATAAATTAGTCTTAAATTAGACTTAAATTTAAAAGATTAAATTTAAAATTATACTAAAAACTTTTTATTTATAATAAATCTACTTTAAAATATATTTTACTATAGTAATAATTAATATATTATTTATTTATAAATAACAGTATTTTAAATATTATAATTTTATATAAATCTATTTTTTTTTTAAATAATAAAATAAATATATAACTAATAAATTTTATAATAAAAAAAAATTAGATTATCAAATTTATTTTAAAAAATTTATTTTATTTATTTAAGAATTTTAACAAATTAAATATTATTATCTCTTAAATAATTAATTTTAAATATCTTTAAATAAGATTTAAAAGAACATTTAATTGATCTTGAATATAATTATTTACTTAAAAAAAATATTTAATTGTAAAATATTTAATCATTATAATTTAAAGTGTAGGTTTTATCAAATATAATTTAAAAAAAAAAGTACCTAAATTATTAATATTATTTATTATATAATACTTATACTCAAAATTTATAAAAAAAAATCTTCAAATAACTAATTCATTTTTATGTTATATAATTAATTTTTTAATAATCCATATAAAATCTAAATAGTTTATATAACAAATTTTTCTTAGAAATTATAAAGATTTTTTTTAATAATTACTATTTAAACTATTTAATATTAGTCTTATATAGATAACATTTTAATATTTGTTTATTATATTTTAAAATTGACTAAAACTAATATTTTTAACTTAAATTATAAAATAAAAAATCACATATTGAGAATATTTAATAAAAATAATAAAAATTAAAAGATACTCAAATAGAAATAGATGAATAACTTTGATAAGTTATGTGTTCAAACTGACTATATTTATGTAATCTCAAATAATACTATATTTTATAATCTAAAATACTCCTATAAACTATAGATCAATTTTAACTAATATGAATATTTTGATAATACATATTTATCATATAATTTAATAAAAATTGCTTTGTATTTATTAAAAAACTTTATTATATTTTATGATTTACTTAATTTTATAATAATTAAAATTTATAATTAAATTCTATAATAATTAAAAGAACTTTTAATTAAACTTGAATTAATTAAATTTTATATAATTTCTATTTATTTAATAAGTAATAAATATAATAGGTATTTAATACATCCTAAAGAAGTTAGTTCATAAATTATTTTTACAATCTAATGATTATAAAGTATACAAATTTTATTTTAAAACTTTTATTAATACTAATATTCAATAGTTATATTTGAGATGATAACTCATTAGGAATTATAGCTTTATTTAGTATTATTGATTAATAATTGATTTTTAACTAGATCTACTAAATACATACTAAAAGAGTCAAGAATTAAAAGAGAATTTTGATTATCAAAAGAAGTTTTTCTAGATTAAATATTTTTAATTTATTATAGCATTTCTATTTTATTAATCTAATCTTTTAAATTTGAATAAATAAATGTATTAGCAAAAAAATTTTCTCAAAATATAATTTTTTTTTTAAATATACAACTAGTAACAATTTTATACTATTAGCTATACATATATAAAATTTTTTTTTATATAATCTATAATGTAAATACTAATAGTATGAGTTTTCATTTTTTATAGTTATTGGATTCAGAAATTTAAATGTAAGAGAGGTTTCATTCATATTTATGATTAAGTTTAAAGAATAATTATATTGAATATATAAATTAGAAACATAATTTATAAAACTTTATTTTTATTATTTTAGATTTTTAAATTATTTTTATGAGACAATTGTTCAGTGGTAAATTAATAAATTATAATGATTTAAAAAAGCATCAAGCTAGGTATTTAAGAATTTAAATGATTGAATATTAGAAGATGTTAGAAATTTGTATTTAAAAATGAAATAGCTCTTATAGTTATCAATTTTCAAATAATAGAATTTTGTAACTAATATTGTTTTGTAATATAATTAAATAAGACACTTTTAATTTCTAGATAATAAAGTAATATTTCATTATATAATTTGATAATTTTTGAAAAAGCTGAATTAATTTATCTTTTTTATCTATCCATTCACATAGTAGTTTTGGTTAAATTTTTTTTTTTTTTAACAATGTGGCACTGCTAATAACTTTATTAAATTTATATAAAAAGAAATACAAAGTAAATCAAATAAATCTAGATTAAGTATTAGCTATCCCCCGTAGTTATATTACAAATCCATTTGAATTAACCGATCATCATCTTCCCCCTCTAACAAATCCACTAAGATTATACCTAATGAAAATTGCTATCAAAAAGAGAAGAAAAAGAAAAAGTCAGTGCCTATCTAAAAATCCGTAAAAGTGTAGCTGAATTTATTCGCTATATATATCTAAGATTCTCAATTGTATGTAGGATTTGATGTCTTTTCGTGTCTCAAGAATGAACTGGCACCTCATTTAGTCTTATCTTAATAGTGATATCTAATGAACATTCTTTTACTACTATTAGATTACAATGGTGTTTCTAAACATCTTCGAATAATTTATATTGAAAAACTATTAAAGATTGAGTGATGATCGAAAAATATTGATCCTTATTTCTAGTGATTTTGTGAACTATGTTTATTAAAGAAAAAGGAATAAGAGAGCGAATAATATCTATGTAACCATCAGTTCTAGATGAGGGGATAGCAAGAATATCATTTAGGATGTCTAGTAGTTCTGGAAGAAATTCAATGAGTTTAGAGATATTCGATTTTGTGAGGTGATAAATTAAATCATCTTTGGTTGTTTGGATAATATTTTGTAATTTTGTGACATAGGCAGGGCAGGTTCAAAGATGTTCAGAAGTTTCTGTACCCAGTCCGCAGTCTATACAATACCAATGTTTATACAAATCAGGTCTTAGTATAGATAATCTTGATAGGGTTGGTAGTTCGTTAACAAAATTTTTTATGATGAAGGTCTTAAGTTTACAAGAAGCAAAAGAAGTAGTGAGTGAAGATGAGTCCAGAGAGAATAAGGACCAAATAGCAGACCAGTTGATAGAATGGTTTCTGGTAAGACGTCTGATGTGATCGTTTCTGTTCAGGTCAAAAAAGTTGCAAAAAATCTTAGCAGAAAAAAGTTGTTTGAAAAAACCTCTAATAGATATTTCAATAGGTACATTATTGAAAGTAAAAACAAGGTCAGAGAATTTTTGGTTAAATATTATTTTTTTTTATAAAATTCTTTAATGCTGATTTTGTGTTACTTGTAATCAACAATAATTTTTAACTTTTCTTTGATATTCCAATATCTTTTTAATTATTTTATTATATGAGCTTTTAAAGAACTTTATTACTTTTTATAACTATTTCAAAATTTAAATGATGAAATTTTTATTAAAAAAAAAATTTTAAAAAATCATTAGCATATTTATAAAAATTATTTTTATTTCACTATTAAAGATTCTATACCAGATTAACATTAACAAAATTTACTCTCAACTTGTTTAAGATCAATTACCCTGATTTAGTATTTGTTAATTCAAGCTGTAGAACATATTGTCTCCTGTGTTGTTAGTGAAAACAAAAGAAAAAATGTTTCCTGTGTTGTTAATAATTAGTGAAAATGAAGAAAAATGTCTCCCACATAGTTAACAATTAGTGAAACAAAGAAAGTTCACACAGCCAAAATTAGGAGTTTTACTTTTTTTTAAAAAAATATTTTTAACATGAACGTTTTATTTAATTGTTCATTATTGTTACAGGCATTACAGACGTTATATTCCGTTACATCATCGTCATGGACGTTATAACACATTGCCAGTAATTATGTCCGATATGCACCATTGAAATATCCAATATCCACCAAAAAATTTTGATCGATCTACAGACTACGGGGTACTTTAGACCGTGAAATACGGAATTTTTCGGCATGAAAAATCCTATTTGTCATTCAATTTATATATTGCCGGTAAAAAAATCACGTAGGTGGAAAATATACTGGGGTAACGAGCATATAAAACTTAGGGTGAAATTGTGCTACTTCCTAGCGAACAAGGACACCATGAACCGAAGCGTGTTAAAGGAAAAGGGGAAGCGAACGGAAAGAAGAGAGAAAACCGAAAAGGATAAAAAAGTTGAGCTTACAAAAATCCCAAGCCGTAACCCCATTTTTTTAGTATGAAAATGTGTTCTCATTCCTTTTATGGGTTTATCTTTCCTAATCAAATGGTGGTATTTAAAATTAGGTTCCCATAATCCCAATTTGGTAATACGATTAAATTTTCTTTTAATCGCCATACAATTTCGAAAAGACATGAAAAAAAAAAAAAATAAAAAAAAATGTACGTTTTTATATAATACTCTACCATGGTAAGTTAAAGAAACATTTTTTTTTTAAAGAAAAAAAATATCTTTACAAGTTCAAACCTAATATTTTCGTAATCATTCTTTAAAAAGCCAAGTTCAACTTTTGTTATCGTATATCTCCAGTCCTTAAAGATGGATTAAGAAAAGCAGGCTGGATTAAGGAACAAGAGTCAACGTTGCCTCGCTGCTCGTTGGCAAAATAAAGGGGCACTTTGACCAATATCTAATACTTCCCGTGGTAAGTTAAAGGGAAATTTTTTAAATATCTTTACATAAGTCCACATCTAATATTTCTCAACCATTTCTTTAATAAGACTGGAATCAGAGGAACAAGAGTCAACGTTTCCTTGCCGGCAAAATAAAGGGTCACTTAGACCACTCTTATAATACTCTACCATGGTAAGTTAAAGAAAAAACAAATTTAAAAAAAATATATCTTAACACAAGTCCAAATCTAATATGTTCCTCAACTATCTTTAAAAAAGCCAATGTCTTCTTAACAGAGGGTGGAATGGTAAGATGAGGAGCCAGAATAAAAGTTTCTTCGCTACTCGAAGAGGCACTTAGACAATCGGTTTAAAAGTACCCTGAATACTATAGAAGATTATGGCTGGGTTATTTCTTAAATATTCACCATGGCAAGTTTAAGAAAATAATCTTTTTTTTAAAAAAAAAATATATATATATATCTTTACAGAAGTCCAAATCTAATATTTTTAAAATGACCAATTTCTAGTATATCTTCAACCTTAGACCACTAAAAGGAAGCACGAGAAACAAGAGGCAACGTTTCCACGCTGAGGGTGTACAAGTTTATTCCTACTGGGACGATTCATGTCTGACCTCGGCAATAAATAGTATTAAATTATTTCTTTATTATGTAATACTTTTATATAGATAACTTTTGATGTCATACTTCAATTTTTAAACTTTAATCAATATGATAAATTTAAAGTTGCATTTCGACTTCCGACGGGATTTTTAATTTTAATATATTGGGTTGATTGCTAGGAAAATCAGTTTCCGGGAATTTTTTAACAAAATCTTTATTGCATTAAGCTCTTAATTTTAGTCAAAAATTTGTCGGAACCTGATTTTCCTAGAAATCTTCCCTAATATAGTTTCGACTTTGAACGATTTCACTAATTTATTACCTGTTTAATTGTTTTCTTGTAATAATATTTCTATAATAAAATTTATAATGTTTTAAGTAAATATCAAAAATAATTTTTCTGATTCAATCGGATTATGCAATATCATGTACGAATTAAATTTAATCCTTAGATACTGAGAACTGCTCTGAAATGGGTAATCATGTCGATCACAATTCATTATTTATCTTTCAAATAATACTTATTATATTGCGTGATTGTTTTTTTAACTTTTTTACTTTTTCCCTTATATAAATTATTTGCTTTTTAGATGGTCACATTGGTATTGTTCTACTTTAAAAGAATCAAAATGGAGTTTTATAGCTTCATTTAATTTAAATTATTTATTTATTTATTTTAAAGCAAGCAATCAAAATCATTGTTTCGTAAAATATTTTAATTTTCTATGGTTACGAAACATCATATGATACAATTCTCCGAGATTTTCTTTTTCTAAATAATCGTTAATGTTTGAATTCATGATAGCAAAAGTAATCACCCTCAACGCTATTGAGTTCGCAAAGAAATTGACAACATCCATTCGATATCAATCGTAAAAACTACTTCACTTTACAATAACCTTTCTCCTGCGTAATAGACTGAGTTTGTCATTTCAAATTCATTATCAATTTGATTTATATATTACATAGGTTGCTGTAATTTGGTAGAAAGTTTGGAATGCTTTGCTACCAAGTTGAGGGCCCAGTGATGCCATATAATACACCTTATTTCTTATTAATGGTAAAATCACTTACCTTTCTAAAAGTTTAACAGAATAACAAATTGCTGTTAATTTCAGGTGAAGAGAATGGCTGCCAATCAATTCGTTGATCGGAACGGAATGTGAATATTGGTAACAGACTCAGAATTCACACTATCACGGTGTAAATAAATGCTGAAATACGATGTTTATTGAGAATACGATTAGCCATATTTTGTTATATAATGCCAAGGTTATTCCCTACCAACCAACCTTGCTAAAGAAGATAGGTTTCTGTATTTTGAAGGAGCTGAACTTTCTAAAAAAACATTTAAAACCTTAAAAAAAAATCAAAAGTTAACATTACAGACGTTATACCTCTTTTGTATCGTTAATCTAATGATAGTATTTTATTATATTAATTGTATGTTATTGCACGAGCGTGCTTAATAATGGAATGATGTGGATTTCGTGCCATATCATTCCATTATTTAAGCAACTAAATATAAGTAATTTCATGGGGAGTAGGAATATCAGAAGGAAAAAAACCATGATATTTCGTTCCCCACGAAATTACTCCAGGAGCGTGACTTATCTTCATTATTACTATCACGTGTAAAATCATTATTTATTTTTATACTTTTGCTCCATCATTCTTTTTGTTTTTCTTCTTTGGCAAATTATTTATTTTCTACATCCCTTTAAAAAATTAACTTGTTTGTTTAAATTTTAAATATATAACTATTTTTTTTTGAAATAACTAATAAATATATAAAATAATTAATAGATTTATTGACATTTTAAGAAAACATTATCAACTGACTGAATCAAATAATTTTACTAAAAAGAAATTAACAATATATGAACAATTTGTTATAATGATTTACAAACTATATAAGCATCTTTTTTATTACTAATACAGATAATAGCATCAAAACTTGAATAAATCTTACTTATTCTATAAAAAAAATGAAATCCTTTAATGAAAAAGACATCTGAAAATCAAGAACTATAAAATGTTATATTTATTATTTTACTTTTAATCTAAAAATTACATATATTTAGGTTTTATTTCTGCATCTTAATTATTTTAACAAAATCAATATCCAATTAAAATACAATAAAAATCTTTAAATAAAAAGATTTATTAAAATTTCACAAATACAAAAATTATAAAAATGTTAAAAATAAAAGTTATTGTAATATCACTTGAATAGATAAAATAAATAATATTAGCAATAATACAATTTATATATCTATATTAAAAAAAATAATTTGACATCTATAAATGAAATGTTTATTATTATAAAAAATATTCTAAAATTATTACTGAAAAATATTTATAATTATAATTAGAAAATAATAATATTCATACATATCAGCTGATTAAAAAAGTCTTCCAATTTTTTTTAAGATAAAAAATTGTAAAAAATATGATTTGATATTTTATTGTAAATAGTATACATTTTTGATTGGTAATTTTTTTATATTACCGTATAGTCCTAAAAATAAGCATCACCTGAAAATAAGTATCTCCATTTTTTAATATTACCTAAAAATAAGCATCCCTTAAAAAAAAATGTAAAAATAAAAAAAAATTATTATTCTATTATTGTAATATAAAATTTATTTAAAAATAAAGCTGAATTAATACAAAATTAACTGAAAATTATTATTAACTATTATAAAATTATTATAAAAACCTGCCTAATTAATTATTATTATGATTATTATCATAACTACCATCATCAATATTAGAAATTTCTAATTCTCCATTATCATATAAATTATCTAAAGAATTTGTTATAGAACAACTTATAAAAGAATTAATAATAATTTTCTTAGATATACTTTTCCAAGAATATTTTACTCAATTACAAACATTACTATATTTTGCATGCCTAAGATTTTCTGCAGAAATTACCTCAGTACTATCAGCCACCATTCATAAATATCATTCTTTACGGAAGTTATCCTTAAATAATTTATTAATAGCAACATTAAGTAGTTAGCATATACTTGTTAAGCCATCAGAGATAACTGCTAAATCAATATTACCATTATAAAATTTTTTTTATACAGATTTTTTCTAAGTAACCTTAAAAGAAATCATAAATAAGCATTATTAGTGTCATAGATCAATTATTATTGAGATAATCAATATATTTTTCATTGAATTTGTATCTATCTATCTATTATCTTAAAACTAAAATTTCACACTAGTAGAAATTTGTTCACCATGATTTAACCTTTTCTTTTTAAATATACATATTGGTGACAATTTACTTCTATCTATATAAAAAAAATGGTAAAAAAATTAAAAAAATTGATTTTTTGAAAAATTTATAAATATAATAATTCTTACCAGCAGTACAAGTAAAGATAACAGTAAAATGAATTTTGTCATTGTCCGTCTTATAAATATAAACTATTTTTTACCTGTTTGATTAACAGTGAAATTACTAGTCATATCAAACTATACTAGTATCTTATCTATGTTGAAGATATTACACATTTCATAGGATTTTTTAATCCTAAGACAAATAACAAATTAATAGAAATTTTCTAATAATTCATCAGTTTGTTTTAGAAGTTTTTGTCTGATTTTTGTGCGCCTTCTTAAAGAAAGTTTCTACCTTTTCATAAATGCATATAACCAATAATTTGATACAGTAATGGTCATAAGTATCCGATCACTTCTAATTCTGGCTATAAGTAAGTAAATTCAAAATTTTTTTTATTTAAAAAATATATAATCAACTAACTAAAATTTATACATTATGTAGTCATCATCTAACTCTATAAGTGCAGCTGTATGTCTTTTCATGTTAGCTATAAAATTCACAGTAAGTACAAATGATAATTAGTTTCATTCTTTTGTAAGTTTCTCTTTAACCCTCTAATTGATCAAAATTTTTTTTTTGTATATTAATTTTCATTAACCTCCAAATATTTTCTATAGAGTTTTAGTTTAAAAATATTGATGGCTAAGAAATATCTTAATGCTATTTTCTTCCTTCTATTTTTTCACAATTTTCAATTGATGCCTTGGATCATGATCTTTTTATAAATCTAATCTA